TCTCTCTCTCTCTCTCTCTCTCTCTCTCTCTCTATATATATATATATATATATATATATATATGTATGTATGTATGTATGTATGTATTCTAAATTCTAATTTTCAAGCTACGTCTGTTCTTTATTCAAGATATTTTGCTTCTGGGGTTCTTAATTCCTATTTATTAACATTTCTAATAAATTTTCATCTTATTTGGTAAGCTGTAATTACTTTTGTAATCGGGTATTTGGAGTAATAATTAGATTGTATTCCTATCATAGGTCATTATATTATTAATTTATGAATATTAATTAGAGATAAATATATGGAATTATATCTAAAACCTTGTTTATAAATTAATTGTTTGAGTTAATTAAAAAGAAATTAGCACAGCACTATATATGTCGACTGTCTCGTTCCCCAAATAGTTAGGTGCGCAATTTTAATCCTAAGTATAATAATTAAGAAAAAAACATATATATTTCAGCATCTTGATTATGTTTAGCTTTCAAAGTTTGGTAAAATGGACAGCATTATCACAGATCTAAAAAAACCCTAGCTATTAGATTCAACTTTCATGTATATCCATAAGAAGAGCTGGTATAATTCAAAATCATATCACGATTTAGGTAATATACCTGCTTCATTCAATTCATTAATCTCCAAGTAATAGTTTTTGTTGTTTTCTATATAATTTTATAATAATCACACGCATTCTTTTTCATATAGTATACCCCGAACGTTTTGCCTCTTGCTTTGATTTGAGGATCCATATCTGACACGGGTGTTGTTCAACGTTCATACACTTGTTTTGAATTTGGTTATTTGCTCAACTTTCTTCGATTTCATTTCTTTATACATATATTTGGGGTGTAAGATTCAATATCAGGAAGTATCTATTAAAAAACTATTTTAAACTATTAGGTTATTTTGTATTTAATTTTTATTAAATAAATAAAGATAATGAGATTTAAACTAATGACTACTTAATTATCAAGACTCTAATATCATATTAAAGAATTAATTTAATTTAATAACTTATATTATTAATTTATATTATTTTCTAATTATATTCAATATAAAGTATGATTAATCCTAAATAAAAGTGAAGAATCAAAGTAAGATAGTCTTGCTTCGTACAGTCTATTTCTTAACATCTCTTAACATCGTTATGTGCATTACAATATCATAATAAATCAAACATGATATTGCATTTTGAAGCTAAGTTATTAAAGGATTATTTTAATTTAAAAACTTAAATTGTTATGTAAAATTTTATAATATAATTTATATAATTTTTAATATATTTTTTTAAGTAAAAGTGAAACTTGCAGAAGATTATATCAATGTTATGTTTAATTTTAATAAATAGAGATAATGAGATTCGAATTATTTAGTTATCAAGTCTTTAATATTATATCAAAAATTATTTTAATATAAAAATTTAAGTTATTAGATAAGGAGTGTTGTAGGCAATATTGTAATGATATTAATATTTATATAAGTATGATCTTGATAATGATTAGGGGAAATTAATTTGGGATTAATTAAGGGAGTCGACTTGATGAAGCAAAGACTATATCCAACGAATGATACACAGGCTTAAATGGGAAATATATTCTTCTTGCCTGATCTTGATTTGAAGGACGCAAAGTTGTGGATGCATGATAATATGCCAAGTAAACCACAGTACTCTCATGCGTAGTTCTCCACCTTTCTCCAAGGTAATGAACGACTGTAACGAAATGCAATAATATGAGCATCAAGATGCCTTATCCACAAGGGTTGCTTTATTCCCATTACACTTAAAATCAATTTCCCAACACGTAAATGAATCAATTAAAGGGTTTTGATCCATTGTTTAAGCTCATTCAACACCAAAATTGACCAATGGAAACAGTACTGATGTAAAAGGAGATATATCTCTCTTCTCCATGGAGTTAGGCATGCAGGCAGAGGATTAAGAAGAATCATCTTGTGTGTGTGTGCGTGCGTGCGTGCATGGATGGTAGCACGCATGGATGACGATGCTGATGAGATCTAGCATGGTGAAATTGTCTGAGATTATCCAGTTTGTGGGAGAGTTTCGCACCCCGAAGACTGTAAAAGCAGCAATTCAAAGCGGAGAGAGAAAGTGGTCAGAAATCTCATTGACTTGTGAGCAAGCAATTCAACGTCCGTTAGGGATAACGGAGAGAGAGAGTCACTAGCTTCTTATTGGTTCTTGACTTGTGCCCACTTTTTGGAAAATGTGTTACTAGTTATGTGCACACTACATTGTTACGCATTATTATTAATTAATTAATTACTAATTACTAATTAATTGACATTAACAACACATTGAAACATTAACAATACAATGAAAATACTGTAGTAATTAATTGTACTTTCCCCACGTGTTTGTTTTAGTGCGGCCTCGAAAAAACCATTTATTTATATTTTTTTTCTTTTTCAAATTTTCTCAGTTATTATTTTTTATTTTAATCTTTAATATTATATTATTTTTATTTATTTATTTTATTCTGATTATATATATTGGAAGTTTGATAAATTAACTTATAATTAGTATTTTTTTCTTAATTAATTTTTTTTCCAACTTCATCCTTTAATATTAATTTAATTAGAAATTATGATTCATTGTTTTATTTATTTTTTATTAGTTTAATTTTTTTTTCATGATCTCAAAATAGTATTTAATAAGTTAACTCAAGTTGTTTTTTATGTTTTTAATTAATTTTTTCATTCAATATTAATTGGTTAAGAATTGAGTTTTATAATCTATTTTGATTTTTTAATGATAATATCTTGGTCTCGTGATATAAGTCGCAAATTTTGATATTTTAAATATGATTAAATTAAATTATTTTTTTAATTCTTTTAAGAGGTTATATCAGTATGATATTCTTCAATATTAAATTTATTTTTTTATTGGGTTATTCATGTTTAATAACACGGGTTATTGGTTTGAAAGGTTAATCCAGTTGATTTAGATTTTTTAATTGATTAATTGATTTTTTTAAAATTTTATTATTTTATATTATATTGGGTTAAGAATTAAATTTTATGATTTATTTTTATTTAATTTTCATGAGATTAAAAAAAATGAAATGCAACCGTCTTAGATCCTACATGACCAAATGTCTCCCATGCTATTTATATATAGTTCCATGCCATGAGGTGATCGAGCGGGAGAGATTCTCCTTCAATAATGTTCATCTGCTGGATCATTGTATAAAAAACAATTAAATCTTATTCCATGTAACCACCATTCTCTTTTTCATTCTCCTTTTCTTTTGATAATTCTGATCGGCATTCTTCAAAGGTGAAGACAAATTGGTTTTTAAGCAAGCTATATACGTTAGGTGACTATGTGTAGAGATTTTGACTTCTTTAATATTTACTTGTAGATATTTAATATATTAAAAAATAATATAAACTATATATTAAGATTTTATTTAATAATTTAAATTATTGAATTATATTAATTATTAGATATGATATTAAAATTTTGATGATCAAGTAGTTATAAGTTTGAATCATATTATT